GGTCATGTAATTCGCTGGTTTAACCATGTTCCCCACTATTCTGAAACAGATGGCTTGATAAAATGGTGCAATAGCTTTTTGAGGAGTCAGTTATAGTGCCAGTTAGGTGGCTATACCTTGAGTGCTGTGGTAAGGCTCTCTGTGCTCTAAATCAGTGTCTAATACATGGTGTTGTCTTTTCCATAGACTGGATTCATGGGTCAAAGAATCAAAGAGTGGAAATAGAAGTGGAACCACTCACCATTACCCTAGCAAAATTTTTGCTTCCCATTTCTATGACTTTATACTCTGCCGGCCTAAAGGTCTCTAGCTCTGAGGGAGAAATGCTTTCACCAGGAGACATAATGATGATTCCACTGAACTGAAAGTTAAGACTGCTGCCCACTCAGTTTGGGCTCCTTGTGGTTTTGAGTCAACAGGTAAAGAATGGAAGTATGGTGTTGACTGAGGTGATTGATTCAGACCACCAAGAAGAATTGGACTATTATTCCATAATGGAGAGAGAGAAGAGTAAGTCCAGAAAACAGGAGATCCTTCAGGTATCTTTTAGTGTCACCATGCCCTGTGATTATGGTCAATATAAAACCATAACAACTCAATGACCAGGACTCAAGGGCTACTAATGACCAGGCCCTTCAGATTTGGATCACCCTGCCAGGTGAAAAACCATGACCAGCTGAGGTGTTTGCTGAAGGCAAAGGGAATACAGAATGAATAGTAGAAGAAGATATTTATAAATACCAGCTAAGAATAAGCGACCAGTTACAGAAATGAGTATTTTCTATCATGATTATTTTCTCCTTGTTTTGTAATGAATATATTTGTATGTATATATATATGTGTGTGTATATATATATATAATATTTGAATATATATGGAATATATCTTATATATTTATAAATTAATTTATATCTATATAAATTAAGCAAATATTTTTCATTCTCTTATTCCCTTATGTAACATAAGATGCATTGACTTTATATCATAGTATTTAAGTATTATTAATCTTACATAGAAGTAAAGTTATAAGATATCTATGGGAAGAGTTAAAGTCACTCAAATACTTTGCCTCCTCTTCTGGGGAAGGGATTAGTGTGTCTTCGGTTGTATGCAGGATAGCTGTATCACTTTAGGCAGAATTGTGACCCTGTTAGTGTCTTTAATTGAAGATTAAGTGTAGTTTAAAAAGGTGTGTATGAGTTGACTGATAAGAGGTAGAATCATGGTGGTCATTTTATGTGTCAACTTGACTGGACTAGGGGATGCCCAGGTAGCTGGTAAAACATCATTTCTAGGTGTGTTTGTGAAGGTGTTTCCAGAAAAGATTAACATTTGAATCAGACTGAGTACAGAAGATCATCCTCACCAATGTGAGTAGGTACCATCCAATTTATTGAGAACACAAATAGAACAAAACTTCAGAACAATATATTTTCTCTTTCCTTATGGAGCTGAGACATTCATCTTCCTGTCTTTTTTTTTTCTTCTTGCTCTGTTGCCCACACTGGAGTGCAGTGGCACGACCTCAGTTCACTGCAACCTCTGCCTCTCGGGTTCATTCTTGTGGCTCAGCCTCCTGAGTAGCTGAGACTACAGGCACACACCACCATGTTTAGCTAATTTTTGTATTTTTAGTGAGACAAGGTTTCACCATGTTGATCAAGCTGGTCTCAAACTCCTGGCCTCAAGTGATCTGCCTGCCTCAGCCTCCCAAAGTGCTGGGATTAAAGGTGTGAGCCACCGCACCTGGCCTATTCATCTTCTGTTAACATGAGTGTTCCTGGTTATTGGGCCTTTAGACTCAGATCAGGACTTACACCATCTATACCTCCATTCTTGGGCCTTTGAATTCAGACTAAATTACATCATTGGCTTTCTTTGTTTGCTGGCTTGCAGACGTCAGATTCTGGAACTTCTTGGCCTCCATTGTCCCATGAGGCAATTCCTATATTAACACTCTCTCTCTCTCTTTCTCTCTCTCTCAACTCTAGAGAGAGAGTCTGTTTCTGTGGAGAATTCTTGCTAATGATGCAGCATTTTAAGAATTTAAACACCATCATGCTTCTGTAGCAGAAAATCCTGAGATTCTTTCCTTTGATGGCAGAGATTCAAAGTAGTTTGGTTCCACTGCACAGCTGTGACCACTGGGCTTTGTGAAATCACTCTCTCTAGAGAAACTTTATGTAGCTTCATAAAATTACTTTTGTCTTCAGGATGGAGGTTTATTGGTTCTCTGCACAACTGGGAAATCATCCCTTTTGGACTATGGAGAGTCTTGATTAGCCCTTCCAAATTAGTTTTTTCTTCTTCTGTTGGAACTTTTAATCAGTACAGTTTGCCAGACATAAGGCAATATATCCAGAAAGTAGAATGCCACAAGCCTCTGCAGATAGTCATTTCCCAGGGAGCACATAATTTCTCACTTCATCTTATAAAGGAAAATGGTGGAGGAATGGAAACAAACATGTATTTAGACTTACTATGTTCCCGGTCCTTTGTGAGGGGTTTCATATGGAATATTTCACTGAATATCAGTAACACTTTTATGATGTAGATAACATTTTTGAAAGGCCACCTGAAGCCCAAAAAGATTGACTAACTTGCCCAAAGGTAACATTGTATGAGATGATGGGACTTGGATTTGAATCTAGCTCTGACTCCAAATGGTTGCTTTTCGTATTATAGCTGGTTGCTATCTACTCTCCTCCAATTAGACTTGAGCTAAAAACAGGACTGAAATGATGCTACATTCATGAGATTAATATTAATGCAGTAGAATCACTCCTTTGCTATCTACAGGAGGAGACAGTATTAGTCTGTTCTCACACTGCTAATAAAGACATACCTGAGACTAGGTAATTTATAAAGGAAAGTAGTTTAATTGACTCATAGTTCCACATGACTGGGGAAGCCTTACAATCATGGCAGAAGGCAAATGAGGAGCAAAGTCATTTCTTACATGGCAGCAGGCAAGACAGCTTGTGCAGGGGAACTCCCATTTATAAAACCGTCAGATCTCATGAGACTTATTCATGACCATGAGAACAGTACGGGAAAAACCACCTCCATGATTCAATTATCTCCACCTGGTCCCACACTTGACACATGGGAATTATTACAATTCAAGGTGAGATTTGGGTGGGGACACAGTCAAACTGTATCACCCAGTATAAACCACCTAGCTCTAATTTTGCTTCTGTCATGGAGAAACTATTTTTAAAAATTCCTCTGGGTGTTTTTTCTCCCATATTAATGCATTTTTTATTTTTACTCTCTCTGTCTCTCTGTAGTCTTTACTACCATTAAAGCAAATCAGTGACATTTATTGCCATAGTGAAAGGCAGAGACATATATCTGAAGTCCATAGGGCAGGAGAGAAAAAGGTGATCCCTGGGAATATTACTTCTGGACAGGTAGGGGAAGTAGAAATTCTTCCTGGGTTATAGGGCAGGGACAGGATCCTTCAGCAACCTGGTGTCCAGCCTTCAGGAATTATATGCCAAGCTGAAGAGGACAGGAACTGGTGAGAAGAAACAAAGGCTCTTCTACAATGCTGAGAGACTCCATAAATTTCCATGTGCACTCACATCTATGGGGAAAGATAAGGAAGGCAGACACTTTGGAGGAAAGAAACACTGCAGATAAGAAGTTAAAACTTAGATTGTGAGATATGAAGTGCTATTTACCAGAAAAAATAAAATTACATTATACTGGAAAATTCCAAGATTTCTTACCAGCTGCTGTAAGTAAGGATAGGGTCTCCAGATTAGGATGAGAGAAATTATAGAAAGAGGAAAAGTCTACATTTGTAGTACATCCTTCATGTATAGTGTATTAATTTTAGATAATGCTGTGCTTTCATAACTCATTCTTTTGAGTTATTAATAATGGCTCCTCTTAAAATAGAAAGAGATTTTCTGCTAGGCATTGAATGTCAAGCTATGCTAAGGATCAAGACCATGACATGAATCAGGTTACTGTGACTCATCTCATGTACCTAGAGAGACCTGCAAGGATACTGAAGAGACTGATATCATAGTGTCATGGTCTGTGGGGTAAATCCCTAATGAGAGAAGGCAGGACTAGGAAAAACTCCATTTTATAGAAACCTAAGTCAAGGCTCAAAAAGTGGACACTTGCGCCTTGGGTGTTTGGGAAAAGCTGCAGAGAGGACAGGGAAAGGTGTGCCAGGAGGTGGGGTTGGGGGAGAGACCTGTGAGCAAACTTCTCCTTAGCTCTGCATGATGTTGCAAAAGTGTGTGAATTTTGGCTCCAGACAAATCTGAGATTAGATTCTCCCTGGCCACTAGTGCCTGATGCCTTTGGACAAACTTATCTGCATAAAGGGAGAGCATTGCTTGAGGATGTAGTGAGAATTAAATGAGAAAACATTTGTTAAATGCCCAACACTATGCTTGTCACAGGGTAGCTACTGTGCCCATAACTATAGATTTTAATGTCTGAAAGTGAGGGCTACACTAATTTGCTCTGGAGGTTTCCCTGAGCAGATGGCGAATAAGTGTCAGAAAATGAATGATATACTCTGTGTCACGGGTGGCCCAGAAGCATGTGGTGGCACGTGTGGTTTATATGTCTTTATGAGTGTTCTGAGTCACTCTGAACCCAAATGACAGCTGTGTGTAAGCAATTCCTGCTGGCAGGCTTACTGGTCTAGAAAGCCAAACAGCAACAATGCCCACCCCCCAACTAAAAAAAAAACATTCCCCAAACCTCATTACCATTGGGACTTGTTAGCTTTGTACCTTTCTGTGAAGATGATTTGATATGTGGATCCTCCAACTGATTTAACTATGGCTTTGCCAGTCTGTCCTATCTATTAAGTTAGCGCAAAAATCTTTTCAAGTGTCAGCCAGGGGAATCCATCCGGAGTTCTGGAGGTCCTAGCAGCACTAACTGGGAGAAAAGAGGAACGCATGCTTTCTTCCTGAGACTGTGACTTAGTACACTGGAGTTGCAGTGACAAAATACCTGAGACTGGCTAAGTTATAAAGAACAGAAATTTATTTCTCACAGGTCCGGAGGCTGGGAAGTTCAAGGTCATGGTGCCTGCATTCAGTTCTGGTGAGGGCGGCTCTCTGCTTCCAAGATGGTGCTTTGTTGCTGTGTATGGCAGGACAAAAGGGACCTAAGTTAGTTTTCTCCACCCCTGTGACAAGGCACTAATCCATTCGTGAGGACAGATCTCTCATGACTCAATCACTTCCCCATAGGACCCATCTTTTAATACTATGACAATGAGGACTACACTTTACCATACATTTTGAAAGACAGGCAAATTCAAACCATAGCATTCTGTCCCAGTCTCCCCTAAATTTGTGTCCTTCTCACATATGAAATACATTCATTCCATTCCAATAGCCCCTCAAATGTTTACTTATTCCAGCATCAACTTAAAAATCTGTGTCCAAAATCTCAACTAAATATCATCTAAATCAGGTACAGATAAAGCTTGTGGTACGATTTCTCTGATTCAAATTCCTTCTCCAGCTGTGAGCCTGTGAAATAGAGCAAGGTACTTTTAACATACAGTAGTGGGACAGGTATCAGATAGACATTCCCATTCTAAGAAAAAGTAACGGAAAGGCAGAAGGGGTAATAAGTCCTGAGTGAGTCTAAAACTCAACAAGGCAAACAACATTCAATCTTGAGATCTGAGAATAATATTCTTTGACTCCATGTCCCTTATTCCAGACACACTGGGGCAGGGGTTGGGTCCCCAAGACTCCAGGGGATCCTACTCCCATGGATTTCCTGAGCTCAGCTCATGCTGAAGCTGTTATGGGTTAGACTCAAGTGCCTGTGGCTCCCCCAGGCTGCCACTGCACACTGGTGGCCCTACATGTCTCAGATCTCATAGGCTGCTCCAACCTCACGCCTCTTCTGGGCATTGCTCTGGTGGGAATTTTCAGTGGCAGTCTTCTCCTGGTAGAAGTTCTCTGCCTGTTCTCCAAGGCTCTCCAAGGCATCTTTTGAAATCTAGGTGGAGGTAGCCATGTTTCCACAGATCATGAACTCTGTGTGCCTGCAGAGTTAGCATCACATGGATGCCACCATGTAATACAGCTTGTACCCTGCTGAGTGGCTTCAGCAACAGCTAGAGCAGCCAAGAAATGCTGCACTAGAATGCAGGGAGCAGAGATTTGAGGTGGCCCTGGGCAGTGAGGCCACAGGCACCTTGGGTCCCTCTTTTGAAACTGTTCTGCCTGCAAGGCCATGGCACTTTGGGCCTGTGAGAGTAGGGTATCCACAAAGATTTCAGAAATGCCTTTGCGATTATTCTTTCATTGTCTCGGTGAATAGCACCGGGCTTCCTTCTATCCATATTAACCTCCATTTCAAACAGTTGCTTAGCCACATCCTTAATATTCGCTCCAAAACACACTTTCTTTTTCTTTACATGGCCAGGCTGAGAATTTTCCAAATCTTTAAGTTCTATTTCTATTTTGATAATAAATTCCATCTTTAATTAAGTTATGTCTTTTTGTATTTTTTTTCACAAATAACACTTTTTATTTGACACTATTTGAAGTCTGAACTTTAAACATTCTTGGACGGGTGGTTCATATCCATCAGCTCATTCAACTTTAGCACCTGTCTCGTCCCCAGTGGCTTTTCCAGAACTACTGCCTTTACCATGAAGCTCCATGAGCTTTCCCAATTCAAACCTGGGCTTCTTCAGCATTTTGACTTTCTAACGAAGACTTCATGGAGAGGATAAATAGATTGGCAAGCCTCTTCTATGTCTTTTCCAATGCTGTCTGAAATCAATTTATTGACCACTTCTTTCAAGTCATTTGTCTGCACCTCTCGGGTCATGATTTCCAGCATCTTCTTCCGGATTTGGCGGACCTGTTGGTGCTGAGCATAAGAGGTCTTCCGCATCTGATTGTTGCGTTTTTTGGTAAAACCAACACAGAACAGACGAAGCAAGTAACCATCGGTAGTCTTGACATCAACATGAGCTTCAATCATTGTCTGCCACTTTTTGACCACGGAACACATTTTGTCACAGGTAAGATCCATGCCATGGAAGTTAGTCAGGCAGTTTTTGCCCTGAACATCTTCAGTAATCAGCTTGAATTTTCTAAATGCAACTTCATCATTCTGCAAATCAGCAAGACTCCCTTCAAACACATGACCCTTGAGACCATCAGATACAATTTTGGTTCCTTGGGTCTTGGTGACGAGCGTCTTTCCAATATTTCTTATATGGAACATAGCAGGTGCTTTCACATCACACCAATCTTTCTTAGAAAATGGACCAACCACTTTCTTCTTGGCTCCCTTTTTGCCGCCTTTTGTAAGGCGCTTGTTCTTGCCAACCGCCATGGTGCTGGTTAGAGAGCCAAAAGGCTCTTTTTGCATTTTTCTATATATAAGCAGTTAAGCCATGCAGCACCCTGAGTGTTTTGTTGAGATACTTTTCATCAAATATTCTAGTTCATTGTCCTTAGGTTCTGCCTTCCACAGAGTACCAGGACATGGATAAAATTCAGCCAAGTTACTTGCCACTTTATAACAAGAGTGGCCTTTCCTCCAGTTTCCAGTAAATTATTTCTCATTTTCAAATAAAACCTCAGCAGAATGAACTTTACGGTCCGTATTTCTACCAACATTCTGATCATGACCACTTAGAAAATCTCTAAGAAGATTTAGGCTCTTCCTATAGCTCTCTCCTTCTAAGCCCTCATTAGAATTGTCCTTCATTCACAACAATCTAGGCTTTTTCTAGTGTGCACCTTCAAACTCTTTCAGTCTCTATGCATTACCCACTTTCAAATTTCCAGGTGTTTGCTACATAACACCCTACTTCTGATACCAGTATCTGTCTTGGTCACATATTCAAAGCACAGAATTGTGATTTACTCTTCTATCAGAACCCTTTATTCTACCACTTATTTCTGTTTAGAAGTGAAAGAGGTAGACCAGACTAGGAATGCAAAACTTCGAGTTTATGAGAAAGGGTGATTTGGATTTTCTTCCTGTGCATATATAACCCAAGTATCTCTGACTCTTTGTGCATTTACACTTGCTGTTGCTCTTGCCAGCACCTGATCTAGGTAAAGTTTTAGCTGTTGTCCCATCCTAACTGCCCATCTCTTCTGTCCACTGCATACTCCGCCCCCCCTCCCGCCACCCCTATTTATGTCTCAAAGCAGTCAGAGTATTGGAACTTTTTTTAAGTTCGAAGGAAGAACTTGAAGAAGGACATTGCACAAAATATTTCACTTTTGCTCTTTATTTAAAGGTGCTTTCCACATGGCAGTTGCAAAATTTCTTTATCTTTTCATTGTTCCTCTTCCTTACAATAAACCTCCTACTCATTCACGTGAGATCATGAACTCCATGTTTTCCTCTCTCTTCTACATCAAATTCCCCAACTACTAGTGTATGCACCTAGAAAAGAGTATCTCTAGCATGCCTTGGTTTCTCTTATAAGTGTATTTAAAATTTTTTATTTATATTCATCTTTCTATGTAATAAATGCTAATCAAATTAGAAAGAGAAAATAGGCAGCTATGTGATAAATACAGACCAATATAAAATGCTGGAAAAGCCTACCATCTATGTTAGAAAAGTACTTGCAAAAATAAATGCTGTTTTGAGTGGAAAATGCAGCTCTATAAAGGAATAACTTCTCAGTTAAAGGATCAGAGCTGAAGGTTGCCAAGGTTGGGTCTTGGGATGAATACACCCAGTGGAGAAGCCTGTCCTTTAGGCCAAGGCATGCACACGTTTCAACTTCCAGGAGAACTGACTGATTGATATGGTGAGGGGACAGGAATATAAGTTTAGTACTATTGCCTCAAGTTGGACAACTCTGTGGTGCCATTCATATGCCTGTCTGCCCATGGGATCAGGCTGGGATTATACTTTAGGTGAAACTACGTCTTTACTGAACTTCTTTCCTCTGCCCAATCCTTTGTCTCTCGTTTCTTTAGAGGGTCTTTTTGAGGGGGATCCCACAGTAAATCACAGCACAAAAATCCCCATTTCAGACTTCTGGGAAACACAATCTAAGACACTTGCTGTGGTACATGTGGAGTGATGGAGTGGGCAGCTGGGCTGTGGTATATGCAGAGTGATGGAGTGGGCAGCTGGGCTGTGACTTACAGGCCAGTGGTCACGTTCATGCAATCCTTCCTTTGTGGTTGTGGTTTTTACTACCAGATTGATGGTTACATATAGTGTATTGCAAAAATGACCACCACTTTTCGAGGCCACCATCACTTGTGATGGTGAATGACTTCTTGCGAGATCTGGATGTTTAAAAGTGTGAAGCACCTTGCTCTCTCTTGCTCCTGATTTTGCCATGTAGCATGCTTGCTGCCCCTTATCCTTCTGCCATGATATGATTTGGATCTGAGTCCCCCTCCAAATCTCATCTCAAATTGTAATCCCAAATGTTGGAGCTGGGGCCTGGTGGGAGGCGATTGGATCATTGGGGCAGTTTTTCATGGTTTAACACCATTTTCCTTGGTGTTGTCACCATGATAGTGATGAGATCTGGTTGTTTAGAAACGTGTACCACCATGCCTCCTTCCTTCTGCTCCAGTCATGTGAAGTGATGGCTCTCCCTTTGCCTTCACCATGATTGTAAGTTTCCTGAGGCCTCCCCAGAAGTCAAGCAGATGCTGCCATGCTTCATAGACAGCCTGCAGAACTGCGAGCCAATGAAACCTCTTTTCTTTATAAATTTCCCAATTTCAGGTATTTTTACAGCAATGTGAGAACAGACTAATATATGCCCTGACTGTAAGTTTCCTGACACCTCCTCAGAAGCCAAGCAGATGTCAACATTATGCTTCCTGTATAGTCTACAGAACTATGAGTCAATTAAAACTCTTTTTTTATATAACTTACTCAGTCTCAAGTATTTCTTTATAGCAATGCAAGAATAGATTAATACACATGGTCAATGAGTTATATCTGTTTTTACAAAAGAGGAAACTAATGCTCAGAGAAGGAATGTAATTTGCCCAAGGTGTAGTTAGCAGATGGATTTGAAGGTAAGTTTGCTTGACTTCAACAACTATCATTAGGTAGCTCTTGGAAATGTAGGCTTCTTGTCACAGTATGTACCTTTCAAAACTGTATGGTTGGACGAATCTATGCATACTATTTAATATTCTTTTAATCTTGACCTCCAAGTCTTACATGGAGCTTCGGATACATAAGAAATTTCCAAGCAATTATTATTTCCACATTTCAGTTCAGAACAGCATTTCCCTGTTTTTGTTTTAGGGGATAGACTTCTAAATTTTCAAATATGCCTTTCAGACATCTGTCTTCTAAACTATATCCTCCAGCATAAACTATGTCCTCAATAAAACCTATTATATTTTATACAAATATTTCTTCTGCACCTCTTTGTGTCCGTCTGTGTCCTAAGCTCTGGAGAGGCAAAGAAGAATAAAGTAGTCTATTCTTTCAAGGAGTCACATTTTAGTGAAGACAAAAAATATACACATAATTTTTTAAAACTACACACAACTCATAAATGAAATATGGAAGTGTTAAATGGAGTACTAAAACTAGTCTGGTGAGTGAAGGGGTAAAGTGATCAGAAGATTTCCTTGGAGGAGGCCTAAACTAAGTCTCAAAGGAGTTCACCTGGCTGGGTGGGGTTGAGTGGGGTTGAGTGAGTACAGTAGACAAGGGTCAATAAATGCTGTAATGTATAAACTCTCAAAGTTCAGGAGCCAATATAGTAAAAGTTTATATGTTGTTCATGTTAGAGTTTGATGCAGACATTTCTGTTGAGAGGGTGGGTGTGAGACTCTGTCCCTAAAGTCATTGAGAGATCAAGGCTGACAGATGGTCTGCATCTTGGATACAGACGCCTTCTGATGTCTCATTGACATCCAGTTGGGAGAGAAGACAGGATGTAGAGAGCACATATGCATCTTAACCACTTCCCTATGCATCACTTCCTTGAAGGCTGCATTGGTGAGCCTAACCACATGGCCTGACCGTGAGGATGGGGACTTTGTTTTGTTAACTGCTGTATTCCCCACAAAAGGAGCAGTAAACACATTAAATGCACAAAAAATGTTTGCCAAATTTATTTGTGATTGAATGTATCTTTGCACTATTAGTACAGCATCTACCACACAGTGCCATTCTATAAATATTGGTAGAAATGAAGTATAGTTTTCTATCTTTTCTTTTTACCTATGTTAAAAATTATTAAAATGTACTAAAAATCTAACACACTGGAATATATGAATTTCTCAGTTATGAACCCAAGAATTATGACAGGTTAGAAAAATTCTGGGAAATATTTGTTTGTATGGGCACCAAAGTGGAACTTTAGCTCTATCAGCAATAGAATCCTTCCTTCTTTCTCTTCCTCCCTCCCTCCCTCCCTCCTTCCTCACCTCTCTTTCTCTCTTTTCCTCCTTTCCTTTCTTCCATTTCTATAGACCTGAACATATTCCATAGTGCTTCTGTCCTATCTGTTTGGGGGAATACAGAGATTTGCTGGACACAACTTTTGCTTTACAAAAGGAATCTAGACATATTACCAAGAAAAAGAACACAAGGCAAACAGTGACAAACACCACATTAGAGCCATAGATAGAACCACCCACTTACCTAGTCTATGTGGCTGAAGAGGGGCTGGCTCAAAAACACCTCCCACATCAGCTGTACCTTTTCGCCATCTGGAGTATCTGGTACACCTACAGTTCAGGTGCCACACTCCACTTCGAGTTTCAGCGAGAAGAAAGTGGCAGAGGAGATGACTGGGTGAAAGCCTTCTACTGGCAAAGCCATTATTTTCACATCAACATCTTACATCTCCCAAGGGATATTTCTGGTCATAAATATGTACCTGAAAGGGATACTTCTCATGAACCATCTTCTTGATTGCCAGGCCCAAGGATTAGAATTCCACATATGAGAAGGATAATTTTCACTCCCTTTAAAAAGCAAATTACCTATAAGGCATATAAATAGCTGTTCCCACAGAAGCAGCTGAGTTTGGAGAACATACTACCAGCAGGCGTTATTGATATTTTTATGTGATCAGGAAAACTGCCTTAAACAAACATTCCTTCCTAGTGAGACATTCATCAGTCAGGCCATCAAGTCAAAAAGGCCCAAGTTCTCAAGAACCTTGTATTACATGGATCATGACATTCTTCAGCAACTTGAGGAATATGATGTTCTTGTAGTTCTGGGAATTTATATTCTGTAACAAGTAGTACAGGGCCCATTTATGGTTCCCAAGAGCACCAAGGTAAATGTCAAGTTAATATCATTAGAAAAAAATAAAAAAGACTCCCACATTTATCTTTTACAAATAAAGGCAATTTCATCAGTAAGGCAATAAGGACAGAAAACATATGTGGCTGACATTAGTTGAGTGGTTGTCTATGTTTTTAATTTCAAAGAAACTCAGAAAGAACATGGAATATCTTCAATTGTGATCATTCAGCTAGCTGTAGGGGAGTCAAAACTCCACCTCCATTCTCTTTGGGTTCTGGCTGGACCCTAAAATTCAGTCAATATAGACAGATTAACAGGAGAAAAGCATACAAATTTATTTAATACAAGTTTACATGACACGGAAGCCCTCATAAGAAAATGAAGACCCCAAAAAGCAGCTAGAGTCACTCACTTGTACACTGAATTGGACAACGAACACGGTTGCAAATATAATAAGGCAAAGGGGCTTCGGCTAGGGTAGTTAATTGGGTAAAGAAGTGACTAAGAAGATAAGGGTTAGTTTAACAAGGTCAACTGGTGGAGCTCTCTCTTGGCTTCAACTTTCTGTTCTTGATAAGAGCGTTGCTTTTATAGGGAGCTCATCTTTCAAATGGGAATGCTACCTCCTGCTTTTAAGAAACACAAAAATGGTCAGAAGGATCTTTTTGCACCTACTGTTTTTTAAGTACCTTGAACAGCAATAATTATGATGCCAGAGCAGCATATTTTGAGGATGGCGTATTCTTAACTCCTTCATCACCAATAACTACATTGCAAGCATTTCAAAGAGGATCTTCACTGTTTTCATCTCTAGCCTCTTTCTCCTCTTCCAACTGAGTTGACTTCTATTTTTATGATGTTGTTTTCACTATGTGAACCAAATTATTAGTGTCACTCATGAAAAGCCACTAAATGGCATTTATTTACTTTAAGGCTGATAGGAAATCCAAATAGTAATTTAGCTGAGAAGAAATGTGTGTGTTTTCCTGCAAACTGTTGTATAATAATGCTCAGTTGGGAGGTAATGGGTAAACTGCAGTCATTCCTTCAAGAAACCCAACCTGCCTTCCATGGACCTACTTAGCAAAAGCAGTAAAAGCTGCCCATTCCTTGAAGCTGTGGCTCCTGTGACTCTAAGATAATTCTTCCTGGAACTTTTTTCTAATCCAGGATACTGTTGAGATGCCCCTGAAGGTTCCTTAATAAACAGTCTAAAGGTATTCATTTTATTAGGATTAGAAAGTGAATCTATATTTTAGGAGCCAGACTAAATAATGACAAACATTCAGAGTCACATTTTTCATTTATTAGAATGACAACTTTCCAGGTTATGTGGTGATTCAGAGATCTGAATCTGAATTTCCATTCTGCCACTTACCAGCTATCTGCCTTTGGATGTCTTGCTAACCTGCTCTGGGTTTCATTCAGGTGCTGATTTTTAAAGTAAAAAAAAGAATGTTTTCCTTTTTGACTTCAAAGTATTTTTTATGACAAGAAATAAGAAAAAGAATGTAAACATGACATTTAAGCTATAAACTATTATTAAGATAATTCAATAAATAGGGTGCGTGTATGACTGCTTATGTTTACGTCTGTGTGGTGATAAATCCTATTTGCTCTATATATTTAAAATAACTAAGACTAGATAAAACAAACCACAATACCTTTTTGTCCCCATAATTTTTAGCTCCGGAAGTATGTTGATTTGGAAGCAAATTAACCTGATGCTTGGAGATCTCAATGACTGCTTGCTGTGTTAAAGTGGCTTGGGATAAAACTTGAGTTAATACTACTCAAGATTTCTCTTCTTCTCAAGAAAGAGAAGATGATCAGTTTCAGAGACGGCACATTTGGAGACAATGTCTTGCCTCTTCATTAAAAGCTTGGACAAAATTTTCATAGACTTTATGTGCAGAAAGCACAGATGCACAGACGTTATGAGGACAAACAAGTGTCTTTCACTGAAGAGAGCTTTTAGTGTCTCTCAATAAACTGCCTCAGTAAATTAATTTATTAACATTATTAACATTAAGATTCCTACATGAGATCAACAAACTGACTTTTTAAAAAATGGAAAGAGTCAAATTTGGTCTACATTCCTCTAAATGATGAATTTTACTAACTTTTAGTTACTGAAGTAACCAGTTTTGGAGTATCAGATAACTTCAGTCAGAATATAAATTTGGTAGATCAAAGATCTGGCTCTTGATAAAGTAAGATAAACAAAGGTACAAGTTCTTTAAAAAGAGGTCATATCCAGAAGATACTTGCATTCATATGTTTCGCACAGCACTATTTACATTATCAAAAATATAGAATCAGCCTAAGGGTCCATCAACCATCAATGGATGACTGGGAAAAAAAATGTCATATAAGTGGCTGACAAGATGACCGAATAGGAACAGCTCCAGTCTACAGCTCCCAGCAAGATCAACACAGAAGGCAGGTGATTGCTGCATTTCCAACAGAAGTATCTGGCTCATTTCATCGGGACTGGTTAGACAGTGGGTGCAGCCCCCAGAGGGTGAACCAAAGCAAACTCAGAAAGTCCAAGGGGTCGGGGAACTCCCTCCCTGGGCCAAGGGAAGCCATGAGGGACTGTGCCCTGAGGAACAGTGCATTCCAGCCCAGATACTATGCTTTTCCCACAGTCTTTGCAACCTGCAGACCAGCAGATTCCGTTGGGTGCCTACACCACCAGAGCCCTGGGTTTCAAGCACAAAACTGTGTGGCCGTTTGGGCAGACACTGAGCTAGCTGCAGGAGTTTTTTTCATACCTCAGTGGCACCTGAAATGCGAGACAGAACCATTCACTGCCTTGGAAAGGGGACTGAAGCCAGGGAGCCAAGTGGTCTAGCTCAGTGTATCCCACCCTGATGGAACCCAGCAAGCTAAGATTCACTGGCTTGAAATTCTCGCTGCCAGCACAGCAGTCTGAAGTTGACCTGGGACACTTGAGCTAGGTGCGGGGAGGGGCATCTGCCATTACTGAGGCTTGAATAGGCAGTTTTCCCCTCACAGTGTAAACAAAGGTGCCAGCAAGTTCAAACTGGGTGGAGCCCACCACAGCTCGCAAAGCCACTGTAGCCAGACTGGCTTTCTAGATTCCTCCTCTCTGGGAAGGGCGTCTCTGAAAGAAAGGCAGCAGCCCCCATCAGGGGCTTATAGATAAAACTCCCATCTCCCTGGGATGGAGCACCTGGGGGAAGAGGCGGCTGTGGGCACAGCTTCAGCAGACTTAAAGGTTCCTGCCTGCCGGCTCTGAAGAGAGCAGTGAATCTCCTAGCACAGCACTGAAGCTCTGCTAAGGGACAGACTATCTCCTCAAGTGGGTCCCTGAGCCCCGTGCCTCCTGACTGGGAGACACCTCCCAGCAGGGGTCGACGGACACATACAGGAGAGCTCTGGCTGGCATCTGGCAGTTGCCCATCTGGGAAGAAGTTTCCAGAGGAAGGAACAGGGAGCAATCTTTGCTGTTCTGCAGCCTCCACTGGTGATACCCAGGCAAACAGGGTCTGGAATGGACCTCCAGCAAACTCCAGCAGACCTGCAGCAGAGAGGCCTGTTAGAAGGAAAACTAACAAACAGAAAGGAAGAGCATCAACATCAACGAAAAGGACATTCACACAAAAACCCCATCCAATGATCACCAAATCAAAGACCAAAGGTAGATAAATCCATAAAGATGAGGAAAACCCAGTTCAAAAAGGCTGAAAATTCCAAAAACCAGAATGCCTCTTCTACTCCAAAGGATTACAACTCATCACCAGCAAGGGAACAAAACTGGATGGAGAATGAGTTTGATGAACTGACAGAAGTAGGCTTCAGACGGTGGGTAATCACAAACTCCTCTGAGCTAAAGGAGCTTGTTCTAACCCAATGCAAGGAAGCCAAGAACCTTGAAAAAAGGTTAGAGAAGTTGCTAACTAGAATAACCAGAATAGAGAAGAACATAAATGACCTGATGGAGCTGAAAAACACAGCACGAGAACTTCGTGAAGCATACACAAGTATCAATAGCCAAATCGATCAACTGGAAGAAAGAATATCAGAGATTGAAGATCAACTGAATGAAATAAAGTGTGAAGACAAGATTAGAGAAAAAAGCAAAAAAGAACAAACAAAACCTCCAAGAAATATGGGACTATGTGAAAAGGAGAACCTATATTTGGTTGGTGTACCTTAAAGTGATGGGGAGAATGGAACCAATTTGGAAAACACTCATCAAGATATTATCCAGGAGAACTTCCCCAACCTAGCTAGACAGGCCAACATTCAATTCAGAAAATACAGAGAACACCACAAAGATACTCCTTGAGAAGAGCAACCCCAAGACATATAATCGTCAGATTTACCAAGGTTGAAATGAAGGAAAAAATGTTAAGGGCAGCCAGAGAGAAAGGTCGGGTTACCCACAAAGGGAAGCCCATCAGATTAACAGTGAATCTCTCTGCAGAAACCCTACAAGCCAGAAGAGAGTGGGGGCCGATATTCAACATTCTTAAGAAAATAATTTTCAACCCAGAATTTCATATCCTGCCAAACTAAGCTTCATAAGCAAAGGAGAAATAAAATCCTTTACAGACAAGCAAATGCTGAGAGATTTTGTCACCACTAGGCCTGCCTTACAAGAGCACCTGAAGGAAGCACTAAATATGGAAAGGAAAAACTGGTACCAGCCACCGTAAAAACATAACAAATTGTAAACACCATTGACACTATGAAGAAACTGCAACAACTAATGGGCAAAATAACCAGCTAGCATCATAATGACAGGATCAAATTCACACATAACAATATTAACCTTAAATGTAAACAGACTAAATGCCCCAACTAAAAGACATAGACTGGCAAATGGAATAGAGAGTCAAGACCCATCAGTGTGTTATATTCAGGAGACCCCATCTCATGTGCAAAGACACACACAGACTCAAAATAAATGGATGGAGGAAGATTTACCAAGCAAATGAAAAAAAAAAAAAAAAAAAAAAGCAGGGGTTGCAATCCTAGTCTCTGATAAAACAGACTTTAAACCAACAAAGGTCAAAGAAGGCAAAGAAAGCCATTACATAATGGTAAAGGGATCAATGCAACAAGAAGAGCTACCCATCCTAAATATATATGCACCCAACACAGGAGCACCCAGATTCATAAAGCAAATTCTTAGAGACCTACAAAGAGACCCAGACTCCCACACAATAATAGTGGGAGACTTTAACACCCCACTGTCAATATTAGACCAACAAGACAAAAAATTAGAAAGGATATTCAGGACCTGAACTCAGCTCTGGACCAAGCAGACCTAATAGATATCTACAGAACTCTCCACCTTAAATCAACAGAATATACATTCTTCTCAGCACCACATCAGACTTCTTCTAAAATTGACCACATAATTGGAAGTAAAAACACTCCTCAGCAAATGCAAAAGAAGGGAAACCATAAAAATAAGTCTCTCAGATCACAGTGCAATCAAATTAGAACTCAGTATTAACTCACTCAAAACCTCACAACTACGTGGAAACTGAACAACCTGCTCCTGAATGACTACTGGGTAAATAACGAAATTAAGGCAGGAATAAATAAGTTCTTTGAAACCAATGAGAACAAAGACACAACATACCAGAATCTCTAGGACACAGCTAAAGCAGTGTTTAGAGGGAAATTTATAGAACTAAATGTCCATGGGAGAAAGTGAGAAAGATCAAAAATTAACGCCCTAACATCACAATGAAAAGAACTAGAGAAGCAAGAGCAAACTAATTCAAAAACTAGCAGAAGATAGGAAATAACTAAGATCAGAGCAGAACCGAAGGAGATAGAGACATGAAAAACACTTCAAAAAAATCAATGAATCCAGAAGCTGGTTTTTGGAAAAGATTCACAAAATAGATGGACTGCTAGCCAGACTAATAAAGAAGAAAAGAAGGAAGAATCAAATAGACACAATAAAAAATAAAGCGGATATCACCACTGATCCCACAGAAATACAAACTACCATCAGAGAATACTATAAACACCCCTACACAAATAAACTAGAAAATCTAGAAGAAATCGATAAATTCCTGGACACATACACCCTCCCAAGACTAAACCAGGAAGAATTCAAATCCCTGAATAGACTAATAACAAGTTCTGAAATTGAGGCAGTAATAATAGCCTACCAACAAGCCCAGGACCAAATGGATTTACAGCTGAATTCTACCAGAGGTACAAAGAAGAGCTGGTACCATTCCTTCTGAAACTATTCCAAACAATAGAAAAAGAGAGATTCTTCCCTAACTCATTTTATGAGACCAGCATTATCCTGATACTAAAACCTGGCAGAGACACAACAAAAAAAGAAAATATCCAGCCAATATCCCTGATGAACATCAATGTGAAAATCCTCAGTAAAATACTGGCAAACAGAAGCCAGGAGCACATCAAAAAGCTTATCCATCACGATCAAGTCAGCTTCATCCCTAGGATGCAAGGCTGGTTCAACATACACAAATCAATAAACGTAATCCATCACATAAACAGAACCAATGACAAAAACCACATGATTATCTCAATAGATGCAGAAAAGGCCTTCGATAAAATTCAACATCCCTTCATGCTAAAAACTCTCAATAAACTAGGTATTGATGGGATGTATCTCACAATAATAAGAGCTATTTATGACAAACCCACAACGAATATCATACTGAATGGGCAAAACCTGGAAGCATTCCATTTGAAAACCAGCACAAGACAGGGATGCACTCTCTCACCACTCCTATTTAACATAGGAAGTTAAATAGGAAGTTCTGGCCAGGGCAATCAGGCAGGAGAAAGAAATAAAGGGTATTCAAATAGAAAGAGAGGAAGTCAAATTGTCTCTCTTTGCAGATGACATGATTGTACATTTAGAAAACCCCATCGTCTCAGCCCAAAATCCCCTTAAACTGACAAGCAACTTCAGAAAAGTCTCAGTATACAAAATCAATGTGCAAAAATCACAAGCATTCCTTTACACCAATGATAGACAAAGAGAGAGCCAAATCATGAGTGAACTCCCATTCACAATCGCTACAAAGAGAACAAAATACCTAGGAATACAACTTACAAGGGATGTGAAGGACCTCTTCAAGGAGAACTACAAGCCACTGCTCATGGAAATAAGAGAGGACACAAACAAATGGAAAAACATTCCATGCTCATGGAAAGGAAGAATCAATATCCTGAAAATGGCCACACTGTTCAAAGTAATTTATAGATTCAATGCTAGCCCCATCAAGCTACCATTGACTTCTTCACAGAATTAGAAAAAACTATTTTAAATTTCACATGGAACCAAAAAAGAGCCTGTATAGCCAAGACAATCCTAAGCAAAAAGAATAAAGGTGGAGGCATCACGCTACTTGACTTCAAACTATACTACAAGGCCACAGTAACCAAAACAGCATGGTACTGGTACCAAAACAGATATATAGACCAATGGAGCAGAAAAGAGGCCTCAGAAATAATGCCGCACATCTACAACCATCTGATCTTTGACAAACCTGACAAAAACAAGCAATAGGGAAAGGATTCCCTATTTAATACATGGTGCTGGGAATACTGGCTAGCCATATGCAGACAACTGAAACCAGACCCCTTCCTTACACCTTATACAAAAATTAACTCA